CACAGTGTTTATAAGTTAAATAAATACCTAGAATCAGCTGTTTCCATGGTTTCCCTGATCCTGACTCCAGTCTCTGGTGCTTGTTAACAGATGGACTTGTTGCCGTCTCTGTTTCACATTCTTGCTAAGTGACTCGCAGCATATGTTTCTTAATAGGCTCATCCGTCTTCCACATGCACTGCCACACTCGTCCGGTCGCTCCACTGGACTGAATTCTTCGTTCAGTCATCTCTAAATGCATCTCAGAAAACAGCCAGATGATACAAGAGATAAACACTGTTGGATGAAACAATCACAATTATTACCTAATAAGAGAAAAGACCTCTTGTTCTAAATCTCCTGTCGCTGGGCAGCTACAACATTAAATAAGAACAAATACCTATCAAAGATGCAGTATATACAAGTATAATCATGTAATTACTAGTTTGTGATCTTGACTTTGACCCAATTTTCACCCAAAAGAAAATCAACTCGAGCTGTTCCATCGTATAAAATTTGATCAGGATACCTTGAACACTGTGGGGACTGCTAACAGACAGAAGCTCTTACAATAAGCTCCTTACATATCATCCCACGAGCTCACGCTGTGTCGTTATGTATCTCAGGAAAACTGGCAAAACGGAGAAGCATCACCATCAGAACTAAGAGGATAAGTAGTTGCCAGGTGCTGCTGATCAAAGGCAGATTATTAACTGATCAGCAGCAACAGTCGGTTCCTGTACACTAATGGCCTCAGCATAATTGGACGTCTGGCAGGTGCAGGTCAAGCACAGTAGCACCTTGCAGACATTGAGTCGAGCACGTTTCCAGAGTCAAATGTGAGGCCGTGTGTCTGAGGCCTAAAGCTTGGGTCATGCAACATGAAATCACATCTGCAGACCAGCCAATTTCTAACAGAGTGGCTGGACCCAAAGAAAACTCGAGGTGCAATGGCAAAGTCAAATTTCAGACCTCAACCCAATTAAAATGCTGTGTTTGGACCTTTGGACCAAACTTCAAATAATTGAAGCCAGAATGTAAAGTGGGCAAAACTTCCTGATAAAGTCGTGTAGGACAAACACACGACCCGTCACGCTAACACGCTGTATGGCTAGGGATGGAAATTAGTGCCCAAATAACAGAATATGCAGTACTTTGGTAAAGTGAAATGGGCTTATGTATAACTGCCATAGAAAATAATTTGTACTAAGTCATTTAGCTAGATTTGGATTCAAAGGCGGATAAATAAGTAAATTTATTATAAGGGTCGGTATTCAGTATGTGTGAAATAGATGTATAAACAACCCTGGTTTGCTTTGTTTCAAGATTCAAAGCGTTTATTGTCGTGTTTGCAAAGTAAAAGCATTTCCCTGTACAATGAAACTGTTTCTCTGCTGTCCACACACACGCAGGTTAATGTGTACAAATAGATCAAATACAAATAGCATTAATAAACAAACAAAAAATGAAGTGTTAAATAGCTTTGAGCGTAATATGCTGGTTTGATATGTGCATAATTATTCTTACTGTTAGGTGGGTTTTAACCTCTGTCTTTGTTCTAAAGTCCAGTAAAGCCCAGTCCAGTCCTTTTGGTATTGGTTCTGGCCACAGCTACCAGACTGATCCAGCCTCCTACAGTCCGCTGTCCTCCCCGGCCACTTCCTCCCCCAGCGGCAACGCCTACTCAGGACTGACAAACCGCAGCACAGCTTTTGGTAAGCACGTCTGTTTACCTCTTATTCTCATTGTGTTGTGTTTACATGTGTAACTTGGTCTTTACTGGCATGTTCACATCCTTTCATGTGGTACAGATAAAGGTGCAGCCCACTGTTCCATGATTTCCATCCTCCCTCCACACGAGCTGCACAACAAGCGAGTTTCCACAGTCCACCATCTCTCAAAAGACAACATAAAAGCTCATTGTTACTTTCTTCAAATTGACTTGTTATTAAATAACAGTATGAATCTTCACTTAATGCCAGACTGAGTCAAAAGGTTTTTCTTCCTATTAAAATGATGTTGTCTGAAAACATTTCAGCATTGAAAGCATTTGAAAAATAGAATGCAGAAGTGAATCGAC